GATGTCATCCGCTTCCACCCCGGGGACCTCTCAATGGTCAAGGCAATGCTTGCCCTTTGCCACGGCCTCTTTTCAGCCTCCCTCCTGACTCGTCCCTCCAAGCTTTTTCGCCCTGAGGTCTATTTACTCTTCTTTCCGCTTGTTCGAAGACTACACTTTGCATCTGTTTCAAAGTGATTTATGTCTCGCGCAGGCAGGCCCAAGCACGACTCTGAGCTCACACTGATGGTTTGAAGTGATCCCTTGGGGACTGTTTTTGCGGGGCCCGCGTTGGTGGAACCACCGTTTCCGCGGGCCGGAGCATGGCTTTGAGCTGCTGAGAAGATGTGTCTTGTTTTCCACCCCTTTTTCTGTTTCAGAAGATGTCCATCATCTCTAATCTAGGCATATTTGAATGCCAGGTGCCTTCAAAGGACCTTTGATTCGTTTTGCCAACCCATTTCTTCGGTCTCTTCCCACCAAACACCATGTGCCATATGCCGAGTTCAACCTTTTAAACTCCTCGGTGTTGAGCCACTGTGTAGCTAAGGTTTGCAGCGCCATGTCCAGTGTTACCACCGCGTCTGTGCAACACGGCCACATCGATCGAATGTTCTAAATGGACACGCAGGACATCGGAATGCACCGTTCTTCTCTGGTTTGATGCCATTGCGACGCGCCTTCTCCACGTAGGACGCAATTTCACCTTTCAGGTCCTTGAGCAGTTCTGCTTCCACTGTCACTTGCCCATGCTCGTCAAGCCACTTGAGACCCCTCCCAGCGGCTCTTTGTTCTTGCTCATCTCCTGGTGCATCATCGTCACTTTCATCTAGCCCGGACGCAGCACCGGCGCTCAACTCAAGCAACTCCATCTCGGGGCCGTCTCGATCAAGTTCAGGATCTTCAGCCTGAAGTTGGAAAAACACACAAGTAGACGCATCAATTCCTTCAAGGACGGCAGCCCGAAACACTGTGTCTGGTACTTGCAGCTCGCAATCAACATCCCAGATTGTCACGGTCTCCGCTTCATCTTCTCTCAGTACTGCGATGCAGTGTGGCTCACCTCCATTCTCTGTGTGCAGCAAACACTTTCCAACTAGCAAATCTCCATCTCGAGACAGCATTGGCAACAGCTTGCAACTAAGCAAGTCTACACACTGCGCATACGTCCTACATCCTCGCTGCTTCCTGTGCACGTTGAGAGGCTTACCTTCATCTGACAGTGCCGCTTCTTGCTCAGCACCACTGGGTTGTAGACACGCACTGCTGTGAGGGATGCAATTCCCTTTCTGCGTCGAATCACGTCAATTTTAACTCTTCCGGGATCCCAGGTTTTCACTTGTGGATTAGAAATATTTCTTTTTTCCTTTTTGAAATTTAATATTTTTTTACCAGGGAAAGTGCGGTCGACACATTTTACGTGTTTTTCCCTCATACGGGACCTTACCATCAGGGAGGGGGGGTACCGGGCGTCAGACCGGGCCCAATATATATATATATAATATGATATCATATGATGATGGTATTTTGACATGGGCCAAGAAATGTGCCATTGCTGTGGTTTTTCACAGCCGCCTCCAACAGCTCCAAGCATCGCTCAGGGAAAAACTTCACAGTGCCTCCCAGTGCACCACGCACCAGTCCCGTTTTTCTCCCATGGTTCCAGTTGTCTTTAAGAAATGTCAAAAGAGTGGTCATACCCTCTACATAGACCCTGCCGCATCGGGGGTTGGAAGGTGAGTTTCTACCAAAAACTAGCCACTTTCAGGATCTATGCGAATTTACGAGAGAGTAAATGATGGTATAATATCTGGCAAAATATTGTATATCCCGGAATATTCATGGGATATTCATGGAACATGTGATATTCATGGAACATGGGAGGTTAAGAACTCAGCTTGGCATTCCAACCTGCAACTCGCCGATGAAGTTCGCGGGTCCACTGAAGACCGTGCGGTCGGAGGAGCTGAGCAATCCACTCACAGGTGGCCTTCCAAATTTGTGCCCCAACATGCCCCCAACTGGGGAAAATTGGGGTAAGTTCACTTTAGGAAACCTCCATTTTAAAAGGATGTCACAGTTTGTCGCAAACACTGTCTTCAGTGGGATATTGAGCAATGCGTGTCTTGAGTGGCAGCGAAGTGGAGCCAAGATGAGTCAAGTGGAGTGATATTTTAATCAGGGCATCAACGTGATCATCTCTGTTCTTGCTCCCACTGGCAAGTGACCAAATTGTTGAGGTATACATCAAGACAAGGGCTGATCTCTATTCCAAGGTTCTCCCTCAGTATCCACCAGCACACCGTCCAAGTCAAATATCACCGCTTTGTAGCGTTCCATCCGCAGCGATCGAGGGATAATGCCAGTCCTGCGCAACAACGACTGCATCTTGTCAAGAGATACAGTTGGTCTTCAGGGTCTTGAACCATCTGCTTTCATCCCAGGGAAATCCATGAAACTGCAATGCCTGTTTTAATAGTCCTTTTCTAGTCATCCCTTTGATATGTTTCAAGAAACCACAATGTCATGATTTCACCCAGGACGCCGCAGATTTAAGGTATTCTGTCATCCGCTTAAATCCTCACACACGCATCAAAATTTGCTGGATGCGCTCACCCCACTTGACCCAAACTGAAGTTTATTTACATCTGGGTGTAGAATTCCCGAAAGCCCTTGGCCGTACCAGCATCAACCCTTCAAGTACCAGTATCATCAAGTAAGTACCCATGGGTATGTAAATGATGCGTCTCTAGGTGGAAATCAACATAAAACAGCTGAACGAATCCCAGTCCTTCTACGAGTATCTTGCAGCTTCTACTGCCAGTACCATGGGCCAAACTCCACTTGAACCATGAAAGTCCGCCTGCTGCTAACCTACTCAGCGGCCCGGTGACTCTCCACCCCAGTCGTTTCAAGTCTGTGATTGTGGGGCAAGCAACAGACTCAGAGCCATTTCGATGTCTGCAGATGAAGCTGGCACAGCATGGCACAACAAGGCGCGGCAGTACAGCGACAGGCCCGGCAGGCTTTCTGATTTTTTTGCCCAGTGCGGCAAATAACGCTATCACTGGCCTGGCAAAGACATGCAGGGCATTCCCACAGTCTTCCTCAGGCAGGTTCTGGCGTTCATCAAAGTCACACCTTCGTATTGAGGTGCTTCGAGCTACGGGTCAAATGGTCAAACGGTTAAACGGGTTGGCAGCCTTAGGCAGCCAGCATCACAATTCAGACTTCGGGGCTCCACCTGCAACTCCGGGTGAGCAAGGCCCCACTCGTCGTGTCCAGGTCAAAACTTCTGCGATCAAGGCCCAAACCGTGCAAGGCTTTGGCATGTTCGGACCAGAGCTGTAAGCCTCATGTGGATTTCAGATACTACGTCAGCACGGTTTGGTGTTTGATATGGAGTAGGATGTCTGTCAACTCCACCTGTGATTGATTGTCACTGGTTGCCAACACGTTGGCAAGATTTGAGAAGTCTATGAAAGATTCTTCGATCAAAAGAGATGCTTAAATGGGAATGGCTCCAAATCGCTCAAAATCACATGCCCAAAATAATTGATCTGAATCCGCTTGAATCCTAAAAAATAATTGTGTGGGTCGGTACAGTACACCACTGTCGAGCCATAGCCGCTATTTAGCCTTGACACCTGCACTGAGTCTGTGGCACTTTGGCAAATACTCATCGCAAACAACCCTCAAAGGTGGGGGAGCTGCCCCTGCCCACTTCAAGGATATGTCCTCGCACTGCCTGGCGCAAAGCTTGTCGTGACAAACTGGCTCTGACGTCTCTGACATGCTCTGACCTCGAAACTCAAACTGGTGCTGAACCAAGAAAGTGGGAAAGCCCTGACAAGCCTTTCTTTCACACCTTTGCGCCAGCACTTTGCACCTCAGCATGGACTACAGGGATCTACAGGGACTCGGTACTGGTGGTGTTCTGGGAATGGCGTCCATCCTCTGCACAATCCATGGCTTCCATCCTGTGCACAATCCTGAATCGAATGTTGATCTGTTCGAGGATCCCACATTTCTCTTGCAAATCGGCGTAGAATCGCGTGTGCGGCTTCCTGCATGCGGGGGAAAGTATGGTGGTCAAGTTGTGCTCAACTGGTCTCGAGCGGCAAAATCGATGTCCCAAAATAGACTCATATAACATAAGCACAGTACATTCCACTATTCTCAAACAGCTCTGGACCCGTGAACAAAGCTTCAAAACAAGCACAAAGACAGAACAACTGTCTTGCCAGTCCTGTGACACCTGTTAAACACCTGTGATAGACAAGCAAAAATCTGATCCCCTGCAGGCCTGTCGGCCCCAAGGTCAGAGCGATCAGCTTCGACTCCAACCAAAGCTCCAGTGTAGGAGATACTGGGGGTCTCCAACTGCGAAATGGCATGACGCTGTTCCAAACTGCTCTGCAATGCGAGTTGTTGATGTTTGTTCATGTTTTCGATTTCGGAATGGGAAAACCAGGCCAGGTTACAAAATATTGCAAAAGCATCCTCGATGGAATATAGGGTGAGCAGCTGTGTACCAGTTTTGTAGGTATGAAATATGGGGTCACGGGTCCCCTAGCTACAAAAAGGTATGCCCAACCCAAAAAGCAGCTCTACAAAATGATGCTGCAGGTGCCCCACACATACCCAGGTGGAGCCTACAAAAAGCCACTCGCATTTTTGTTATGGATGTTGAAAACAGATGCAAAAGCGACTAAGATAAGCCCAAGTCTTTTTGTAGTCTCACCCAGTTTGTTTTCGAATCATCTTTGCTCAATCAATGTGCTGACCTTTTTTTTCCCCAAGAGCCATTTTGTAGGCTAGTCTATCCTAATCTACGTGCTTTGCAGCAGACTTCTGTTTTGAGCAATGCTGACAAAATTTCATTGTCTTGACATTCTTCTCTACACGAAGACAGTCGGGGCTCAGGTGGTAACACTGTCCATAAAGGCTCACAAACACGGCATCAGGAAATCTTGCAGGTGGAAAAGTCAATGACTTTCGGCAGCACAGCGTCAAGGACCAAGTCAGCAAAGAGCCTGTCACCATCCCCAGCACAAAGACGAAAGAAAGCAGCGCAGTCACATTGTCGAACATCTGCTCAACAGCACTCTATGGGAATCAAATGCTGCCCCTATCTTTCAAGATCCCCAAATGGCTAAGGAATTCACCACGCAGCCAAGAAGCTCAGCATTCATCCAAATGTATCCAAATGTATCCATATCTATCCAGTACCATATTTCAGATGAAGTCGGATGGAAAAAATATGAAAAAATCCCATCTGTCACACTTGAGAAATCATCACAGGTAGTGCCATGCCAAAGCGCGGATAAAATTGTCTGGTTTACAAAATGGAGAGCACAAGAACTCTGGCTACAAAAAGCATATCTCAATGCTACTGCTTTTCTGCCCCCTCCCAATGCCACAGCTTCTCCCTGATGTCTCATTGTGGCAAATCTTGCATAGACACGCTATGCATTGCTACGCGATTGTCAAGGGCCAGGACTTGACCACATAAATCAAACTGCAAACAAAACTGCGGAATCAAACATGATTCATACAATCACTATGCAGGTTTGTCAAACCAGTCATTTAAATTCATTTGAAATTTGAAATAATTTGATGCATGCAGCTGTTCAACCAGGAACATTCATCAAGCACTCAGGCCTTCTGAAATGGTTTGGAATGGAAAATCTTTCCGGCATTGATCGACCTACTGCATCGAAGGTAAAATTAATTATTAGTGGAGCAGCACTGATGAGGTGAGTGGAGCAGCACAAGATTGATCAAATGAGAGAAAACGGTTGAATGGCTGAGGTCTGCAAGATTTGAAAGTCACCTCCACCAGGCCTATCCACCTGCTACAAAATGCGGGCCCCACCTCAAGGCCCTACAAAATGACCAGTTTGGTCAAACTCAAAAGCATCACGTGGCGATGCGAGTTTCATTTAATCTGCTTAAGACGCGCTAGCAATTCGCCAGAACAACCATCAAAACAGCACAGTCTCTCGTATTATTGTTGCTCAAATGAATCAAACTGGTTCAACTCAAACATTCATCATCTTCAAAATATAAAACCGTATCAAAACTATGAAAATGAAAACCCATGGTGAATCACTTTCTGCCACCGACATGTAGCACAGAGATCGTCGCTAGCTTTGCATCTTCAGGGTTGCATACAGATTCAACATTGGGTGAATCTAATTTTTTTCACTGCCATTGGAATCCCCTTTGGTCTTGTTGGCGTGGCGTGCAGCCATCAGATACTCTGCAATCTCCTTGATCAGGCGCAACCACCCTTGGCGGATCGGCTCACTCTGCCCCAAACGCTGCTCAATCAACTTCAGGTGGTTCCACACCATCTTGCCATAGGCCTTGGCCGTGGTAGTGTGCCGGTACCTGAGCTGAACGGAAGGGGGAAAGAGATGGAAAATCGATAAAAAAGAAATGATGAAAAGGGGGCCCAAGAAAGCCTACAAAATGGCACTTCACAAGGATGCTGCTTACAAAATCGCTCTGTTACTTTGATCAGGAGGACAATGGAGGTTCCAAGAGGATGGCAGCATGCTGTAACTACAAAAACACCTTGCACATCTCTGTTCATACAAAATGAATCTGTCATAATCTGTCCACATAAAAAATATACAACAATCATCAAATCACTGGTTGAGATGCATGGATTCGAACACCTTTGGGGAAGCTTTGTACACCGCGTTCCATGTGATCGTGTGCGCCCCGTCAAATTTCATTCGACAAGTTCCATCATCATTGAAGGCTGGCGCTGATCCAAACTTCTCAACATCCAAGTCAAACAAGCTCTCCATCATCTTGAGAATCGCTGCATGACCTGCAGGCGTTCGGCGGATGTCATCGGGACCCAATGCCTCACTTGCCGGCACAGACTCCTTGTCCTCTTTTTCCGGTTTCTCCTTTTTCTCCTTTTTCTCCTTTTTGTCCTTCTTTGCTTTCTTCTTTTTTGCTGCCTTCGATTTTTCAACTTTCTTGGCAAATTTGGAAACTAAAGTGACCACTCGTGTGCGTGTCTTCTGGGCTGCCTCTGTGCCCGCATTTTTTGAACCTCGTGTCATGGTGTGTGGGACTTTCCAACGTGTCAAGTTCTCAGTTTTGGCCAAGACTTCAGCAGAGTCCTCGGTGAGAACAATCTCGAATCTGCCACCTCCATCAGTTGGCGGAGAGCCTCAGAAAGGAATCAGAAAGCGTAGCCGCACGTACTCACCGTCAATGACCATTGACAGTGTGAGCGTACAAACATACACACACTACAAAAAGACATACACAGCAGTGCCTTCTACAAAATCACCCTTTGCACACATGTCAATGCAAGCTTGTAGTCTATACAAAAATGGGTTACCAATGATTGCCAATGAGTTGGAGGTTCTCGATCTCAATGACTTACTGGTTCTTAGTACGGAATGGGGGAATGATCCATTAATCCATTTGTACTGTTGATTACTGTTGTATATATATATGCTGTTATATCATGTTATGTAATCATCTCGTTCTCCCATGTCCTACTAAGCACCACCAAGAGCCCATTAATGGACAGAAGAGACACATGAATCGACGTCCAGGATGCAAATCAACGACTCCAATCTTGCCACCCATGCTACACTAGTAGCAGTGCAGAACCACCTCATAGCGTCAGACTGGTCCTGCATTGAGAGCGATACTGCTCTAAATGCCACGCACCCATTGATATGAACAGGGTTCGAACATTGTCGAGGTTTCTTGACACCGCGCCACACCGACAGCACAAGCCCCAGCTCAAGGCCATTGGTCTCTGCTCCCGGCAGTTGGAACAATATCACGTTCCCGGCCCTTAGCAAATCAAACTGTTAAGAACTTGAACTGCAACCCCTCAGCCACTCTGAAGTGTCACGACCACCCCCAACACCTACTTGTGATCAAACTATATGCCAAACATTGCCAAACTATGCTTCCACTTTGAAACACCCTGAGACAAGATGCTGCAGGCTTTCAGGCACAGCAGCTGGAAGCTCCAGCTGCTTCTGGGCAGTCACCATGAGCTCCTTCCACTTTGCCAACCTCGCAGTCCGTGAGCGATACTGTGGGGTCTCCTGCTCGAGGTTGAGCTGCGCGATGATGTGCTCGTTCCGTCTCAGGCGGTGCACTGGAGTGAACGTGACCCCTGCATCTAGTTCTTTACAAAATGATGTTCCCAGGAAGATCACCTACAAAATGGCTTCAAGAGATCTTCAGGGAATTAGGGTTTCAATTCTATTCGTTTCCACTGAGACAAGGGGATATGTCATACAAAATGTGTACCTCGACTATATATGCTACAAAATGAAAGATTATGTCACAATATGATACATGAACATTTGCATACATTTGACATGAACAGAAACGGCAATCATTTTCAATGCTTGAAACCCCCACTGGTTCCAAAGAAAGAGACTGCACACAATTGCAGACAAAACCCCTTCCAAAATATTTCGCCAAGACGCTGGTGCCAGTTCAGTTTGGCGCTGGCTCTGCGGGCAGACCGCGCGTTGGAGATCCACTGAAGGTCTGCTCCTCCTTTGGCCGAGCGAAGTCGCACTGCCAATCGGAACAGGGCATTGAACTTGTCCCCTGTGTCCTGAACAGCTTCCAGCAGTGTAGATGGCATCCTTTCACCGGACGTAGCTCCTTTGGACTTCATCTCTTCTCGCTGGTCTGGCTCCAATTCCTCCAACAAAGCCTTCAGTTCTTCACCTCCAGCAATGTCCTCACGCTGCATGCCTTTGCCCTCATCCACCTGCAGATCATCCTCAAAGTTCTTGTCGACGAACAAGGTCTCTCTCTGGATGCATGAAATGAGTTTCATACAGTCGTTGCCTTCACATTCCTGATCATCCTTCGCTTCAAATGCATCTGGTTCTTCCTCCTCCTCATGGACCTCATCCTCCAAGATCTCAAACAAACCAGGTTCCTCTTTGCAAATCTTTCGATAGGTGAACTCGAGCATTTGCTCTTTGATTCCACTGGCAAAAGACACCAAGGCTAGCGATGCCTTCCAGGCCCTCTCGCAACACCGAGCGAACCTCTGTGTGACAGATATGGCTTACAAAAAGGCCTGCCACAGGTTATATGCTATAAAATGACATTGAAAGTAACTCATCTTGATTTAGTGCACCCAAAAAAGGCCACAGACAGCCTAACACAGAGGAATCCTACAAAAACACATGCGCACCCCCTCAACCGATCAAATCTATCTGAATATCTGCAACTAAAAAACTCATCCTCACTAAGAGCACCCTGACTGCCAGCAGGCACCGGCTTCTCACACATCAACTGCTTGTTGTGCTTCAGGGACATGCGACATGAGGCCTGGAAAAAGCCGCGCGCAGATAATTGCGAGT